AAAGACTTTATGAATAATTATAGGTCAATATGTGTTATCAGTGTTTTACCTGAAATTGTTGAAAAAAACATCAAGAACTGAATAATGTCTTTTGTAAATAATAATAATAATAATTAATTAATTTGCTATCAATTCAATTACAAATGTTGCAGGTGAAATAAAAAACATGCAAATAAATATGAAATGCCCACATAAGGCAAAACCTGTGCCTGGTGAGATGGGAGAGATGAGAAATGAAAATACATTAGCTGACAGTTACCAGTATGGGCTCATAAAAAATAGTAGTATGCTTGCAGTTGCAGTTGATTTTGTAAATTATATCTCAAAGGTCTAGATGAAATGGTTTTAGCAGTGCTTATAGCCTTAAGAAAGGCATTTGATGTGGTAGCTATCAATATATTATTAAATAAGTTACAAAATATGGGATTCAGGGCTACTCTGTATAATTTCATTAAAACTTATCTACTTAACAGGAAACAAAACAAATAGTGAGTGGTTATCTAGCGACTATGGTGTCCGTCAGGGGTCAGTTTTGGGGCCTGTATTATACCCACTAAATGTTCTAAATCTGACGAGTGTTAATCTTAATGCAAAGTTTTTATTTTTGCTGAGACACAGTTCTTTCTGCTCTATGAAATAAACTCTCTGTGTGATGGAAGTTAATTTAGATGTCACTCTTTATCCTTACTGTAAATGGCTATATTCAAATAAATCCAGATCTATAAAACAAAATAACTCATTTTTAAAACCTTTTCAAAAAAGCGCGCGTTGTACACAAATTAAAGCAATAAGAAGACATTTTCCAAGAAATTGTAGTTGAAAACTTTTGTATAAGAATAAACATCGTCAATGTAGAAGAACTATCAAGAATCAAATATGTACCTTGGCCTAATTATTATAAATGAGAATTTGAATTGGTCTAGTCAACCTAAAAAGGTTTTTGATAAAACAACGTCAATGATTGCTGTTCTGTAACGAAGCAGAGACTACTTAACTATGAAAAGTAAAATAATTATATAATGCATTTTTATTGTCACACTTTAGATATATGTTACAATTTGTGGAATGTGTGATAAAGGTAAATTTGATAAAGCACAAATATCGCAAAATAGAAAATTACGAATTTTATTTAACTATCTTACCAACATAGATAATATGTACACTGAATTGAATGTTATTAAGTTGTTGGAATTAGATTAATACCAAGTGATATTCAAAATTTTGAATAACCAACAAAATTCTAATACAAAAAATTCTGATCAGACATGATGTAAATGTACCAGATTCCTACTAGAACTGATATACTCAGGGTTAAATAACTCTGTCACTGATGCAGTAAAAACATATGATAATCTACTACATAGAGTAAAGAATGTACAATTATTCAGAAATTTTGTAAAAGTACTCAAAAGCCACTTGAATTGTTGAATTTATTGTTGTTAAAATATGCACTTTAAATAGTATGTTAGTAGTTCTCATGGCCAGTGTTATAAATCAAGATTAGAGAACACTGTTAGATAAAAATTGTAAAAATTAACTGTTGAATAAAGATTTGTTTTCAAAAGTTCGTTCCTCTGCCATTTTAACGAACTGTAACATGTACAACATACATAAACTTCGGTTAAACTACATTTTAACCTTGATTTGGCTTATGCTTTCATTGGGGTAGATTATGATTATGTGCATATTATGGTCATTATGCTGTGCTCCTTGGACTTGCCAAAATTTTGACCCAGGGCAAGTTTACTACCATTACCAAATAACTACAGGGAAAAACCAAATTTGTCTGATGGCTTGAGTTCAATGTGCGCGAGGCAGAAGCGCGAAAGTGTGTATCAACACATGTTAGAAAGAGATAGAAGCTGGCTGAATAGCGAAGGTCATCAGCACATTGCCTAGCAGCGGTGACACAGAAGGATCTGCTGGGGATGAAAGAGCCAAGGCTTTGAAGGTTATTAAAATCAGTCGAACAAAATTATCAGTGAAAAACAGATAGTTCTAACTGAATCTCAACCAGTGAAATTAATTTCAATGTGAATGTGGCCTATGGTCCCCCATGGCAATTTTGGCACATCAAAATTATAATAGCAGTGTCAAACTTATCGTAGCGGGTATATAAGACTGCAAGGCGACATAGAAATTAAAATAAAGTGCCCAAATTCAGCTGGGATCAAACCCCTGAATGTTCACAGAAATCAGAAACTTTGAATGATTACGAAGTTTTAATTTTTGGGTCCAGCTGTAATTAAAAAAAATATATTTGGAAAAGTTAGCATCACGCAAACTATATAAGCAAATTCAAGAGCAAAAATCAGTTTGGAGACAGCATTTATCATGCTAGAATTAATGTATATTATAATTTTAATTAACATTTAATCTCCTTAAAATATTGCAAAACCTGTAACAGTCTAATACGAGAAATAGATTCAAATTAAAATTCATAGGAAGTACCCTGAGTTAATCTCCGTGGTTAATTCTTCTGATTAGCCATAATTTTCCTAAGTTGTAAAGATAACGGTCCAGCCTTCATTTATGAGAAACTTCTACAGACAACAACAACTATCCATACCTCGCTTTTTTTACCTTCAAGAAACTGAACTGCACTGATTTGCAGTATCGAATGAATAGATATTTTAAATTTTAAAGAACACAAAAACGGTTTAACTTTTGTTTATGCTTGTCTTTTAACGTGGTCTGAAAGATCATCTCGTAAATAAACAAGTTGATATCTCATTGAAATGGAAAAAATATGCAAAAATGTAGATATAACGTACGTTTAGCAGCAGCCAGAAGATCTTTAATTTCTTTGATGATCCTCTTGATGTGCTGGTTCGTCTTCTCCAGTTCCCTCTCATGTTTATGAAGATTTTCTCTGAAATATGGACTGTCACTTAAGCACTCTGTGAACTCGAGAGGAGGTAAAACGACCCCCATTTTGTAACGGAAACACGCACTGTCTCACATAAATAATCGTTCACTTATTTGAAGCAAAGTTCCCTCAGAATATTCACGAAATATTGGTGTCTTTAGGTACACTCAACCCGCGAACCGCACCTCGGTAGCTTGTCGGCAACGCAATGAAAACATGAAGTAAAAAAAACAACCTGTAGGAATTAAACTACCGCTGCAGTGTTGCCGGTATGTGCACTCAATAAATCTGTTATGAAAGATGCGGTTTACACAGCATTATTGTTAACTTTACGTTTGGAATTCGTTGGCTGGAACAATCTTTTTCCATAGTTTGGGCATCAGCTAAAACGCTTAAAAGCGTGTTTTTGACAACCAACTCTCTCTTCCGTTAACTTGTGTTATTTTAGGCAGACTTGCCAAGAGCCTAGAGGAAGATGCAGACTCCAGGTGATGAGGTTGAACCTACATGAAGGCTTCCCGCAGGGATATTACTTATCCTGAAAATTAACATTGTCGGTATTTTTTGAGACTATATAGAGGCTTTTTGTAACATTATTTAGGTTTTTATAATATGTCAACTTAGAACTAGCTTGATGTGCACTCGTTCTGTAGCTCTACGTGTTGCCTAAATGTCATGTCGCTTTAGCTTTCAATGTTTGGCTCTGATGTGATGTAATATCTGCTTTATAGATGGTATTATTGGAGGTCTGAGCTATACGTTACCTATATATTATAGCTGGAATGATACCTATATATTATAGCTGGAATGAAACGGCAGTGCATAAGTGCATACTGAGGATTTGTGTGCTAATACTGTGTTGGTGATAATTCCATAGGTTTCTTGTCTTAAATACACTTAGTTGATGTGTATGCAAAGCTAGAAATTAGTTGCGCATCCACTTTTTATCATTGATCCATGAAAATACATTTGCAGATTTGTTGGATTTCTAAAATGAGAGAGATAAGAAATGAATGTCCCTAGTTGGTGAAGTATATTACAATCAAGAGCTGAACAAAATATGCCACAGACAGGAACATTTACGAAACGTGAAAAAGTTATGTTGTACATTATTTTTCATTCTTAGTCATTTTATAGAATTTATGTTGCGATGTCAAGCAGGAAAAACAAATCAGCGCCTAGATGTGAGACAGTGCGAAATGTTTTGTATGTAATGCGTCATTCCTAATTTTTCTGTGATGTGGCTTAATTACACAGAACTCTGTCGTTGTGGCTTCCAGTGATGATTCTCAAGGTTTTTAAAAACGCAAAAAATGAGGAAAATCGTAATTTACAACTTTGAACATAACCTGTCGTCAGAAAGGTCAACACAGATAACCCGTCTGAGACCGCTAATAGATGTACTTCATGGGCACTGGGCAGGATATTCAGTAATAATTTTCTAACACTGCAAATATCACTGATTTTATACACATACAGACCCATTAGACATAAATCCATACTAATTTTACGCTGTAATCCATGTAGAAATCTAAATTCGTTATATTTTGTATACTGAAGCTTATGAAGTTTGATATTGACATAGTAGCGTTATTTGAAAAATATTCATGTTCTATCAATCAGAATTATCAGTGGCGTAAGAAATTTACTACGCCATGTACCTATCTTAACCCATGTTATTTTCTTAATGCACCATCGATTCTGAAAATAATGCCATTGTTTCTGGTATTAAAATGGAAGAACTTGGAAGAAAGAACGACAGATGTTTTAAACCAAAATGTTTCGATCTGTATGCGGCAGACCGTACAAATCAATAAATCATAAGTACTAGTACAGTTTGCAAATCCACTAGCAAAGATACCTACAAATACCTACATCTGGCAACGCCGATTTTAATTTGAAGCTTGAACTTCATCTCGGTCAGAAGATAGCAGCATCGTACTCAGTCGTGTTGGCGGCATCTATTTATAACTGTTGGAATACTAAGCAGATACCTTCACTGTAACAGACAGCTGTTGAAATTTTACAGTAGATGGTAGCACCATGGTTCTATGGTGGCGCCATCTCTTAAATTTATTTGTAAAAGATATTGCCTGTATGTAGTTTTATATTCTGTACTTTCATTACTTACAGATAGTTTGAAGAGATTGTAGCACAACTCGATGCGTAGTGAGACTTTTGATGATAGATGGCAGCACCACGCCAACTGAACCATTAGACTGTAGCACCATCTGTTTAGGCAAATATTGAAATTTTCTCCGACCCAGCTGAGCGACAGCTACTCTCGCCAGTTCCAGTTTGCCAAAAATTTCAAACAGTTTAGGCTTAGCTCGTAAAAATTTTACATTAGTGGTGTTACTCTCAGTTAAAAATAAATCCTTTATTTATATTGTCCTTTGTGATTGTCGGACAGTCAAAATGTTGTAAATGGTGATGTGTTGCGGGACAAATCGATAATAATCTGTGTCGTTTTGTTTTTGTACCGGGTGTTTTGTATTAGTAAACAATAGTTGTGATTATAGCCCAAAATGTCCCTCCCTATAGAAATTATAGAGAGGATATTAATGAAATGTGACGGTAAAACCCTTCTCGGGGCGAGAAAGGTGAACGAGGATTGGAAAAACATTGTGGACTACATATCACTGGTAAGGATGTTGTGCAATGTAAACAAAGTTGAAAATGCATTAATGTGGCTTTACATCATCACCAGCTAAACAGTTGTTTGTACCTATTTCAAGTAATACATTGATTTGAATAAATCAACATTGTTGTAATAAGTTCATGTTTCTCTGGTTAAATGAAACCACAGTCTGTGTTTACACTGTAGGTAGCCAAAAGCTTAGATAGCCACAGAGCACCAAAGCTCCAGTAGCAGATTAACATGTGTAGCAAAAGCTATGGGGCCCGCAGGCAGCATTTCAGGGCCTAAAGAGAAATGTTTATGAAGGTAGTAATAGTACCTATTCTGTGAGAGGGAGGACTACCAGTTGCCATTACCCACCCCCCTTTCAAATTTTGAGTCACTGAAATTGCTGCTCTCAAATGCACTGGTGCAGAAAACAACACATCCCCTGCTCTTCAATTATGAATTGCCAAGCATTTAATTTCCCCTGTCCCCCCTTAAATTTCCCTTCAGGTGTGATTTTATTACTTCCATTTCCAAGTCCAATTGGACAACTAGCATCCTTATGCTGGTTGTCCAAAACCTGCTTTGAATTCCATATTGTTGCTAGCAGTAATGGATGCCAATAATTCCTAATAAATGTTATTATTAACAATATTTTTGGCATTTATACGCACCATATATCTAACTGAATTTCTTTGCACTTGAAGAGAACCGATATTTGGGAATGGTGCTGCAATGAAGACATACCAAAGAATGAATTGGTAGAGTACTTGCAAAATTATAAAAGTGATGATCCAGATAAGTGGCTGAATATCTACACCAACTGGTCTTCGTGGGAGGATATCAAAGATATTCGATGTGATATAATTCGGAGCCCAGTAGAAATCACCAGAATCTCATGTATCGCAGTCTCTGGAGAATTCATAGCTATTGGATCGAATGATGGAAGATTGAGGATATATACTATAGACTGGAAATTGATATACAAAGCCAGAATTTTGGCTGTGAGATTGAATAGCTTAGCATTCATGGAAAGTAGATGTAAGTGTTTATTAGACAAAAAATAATCTACTTGTTCGGTGAAGTAGTTAATGTATGCAACATTCAGTTCCTCAACTGTTTTATCTAATATTGAATTTAAGCACTTCATTTCAAGCTGAGTAAATGTACTGAATGATTTTGGTATTGTTATAGTCAACAATGATACATGTTTTTGAAGCAAATACAAAGACACTAAATAAAATTATTTCAAAACAAAAACAAGCAATATCTACTCTGGAAACTTTTTGAAACACTTTTATGAATATCTCACTTTGAAAACATTTTTACAACACATTTCTTAATTTTTTTTTTGTGTAGCTAATTGTTCAATATTTCAGGTGAAACTACTAGCGGCTGTATGGACTTACCGTATTTGACATTAGTGATTGCTTTCCACAAAGGTCTACATATATTTTGCTTTGATGGTGTAAATGAAACACAACTCGTTATACATGATGTAAAATCTCATAGGTAAGTAATTTCATATTGCTTTTTTTAATTTTGCTTGGTCTTTAGGCACATATTAAACAAGTTTTTAATAATTGAAGATAACCCTTTAATTAGGGATTTTCATAGATTACATTTATTTATTCATTTCCTCTCAACAAAAAATATTGTATAGGAATTGTCATACATTTTCAAATCTAAAAAAAAACCTATATCTAACAAAAAGTCAAATAGTAAAAAATAAGATTTAACGGCATATATCACAATATTCTTCCACACTATAAAGCTATTTTCATTCAAATCGTCTTTTAAGAGATTCTTGAATGTCTTTAGACTGTAGCAGTTCTTTATTTCCAAAAGAAGCAGCCCATTAATATTTGGGGACTTACACATAATTGGAGTTCTATAGGGTGGTATATAAAATTATTCACTAATCCTCGTATTAATTGAATACATTTGGCCATTTGATGGGAATTTTTCTCTATTATATGTATAAATAAACAAGTTTCCAATATATATAAACCAGTAAGTGTTAGTACTCTGAATCTCTTAAACAGATCTCTACATGATGTTCTAGCACTAACATGGTCTGTAATTAGAAAATGGTTAGCTTTAGAGAAAAGTTACCGAGGATTTTTCTTGTTCAAAATGATCCGAAAAATTTGAAAAAAAAATATTCAGAGCGAGAAATAACAGCTTTTATTGTAATGTGTTCATATCTTATCTGGGTTACTCACCGGCATGGGTATCACGTATCTTGAACAGTGACATTATGCCGATTTTTTTTGACATTATGTAGGTTAGTCTACAAGATGTTAACTTAGCACTTAGTTGTACGTGTTGCCTAAACGTCATGCGGCTTGTTATCAATCTTTGGCTTTGATGTTATATAAATCTGCTTCTGAGATGACTAAATTTCAAAAATGAGAAAGATAAGAAATAGTTATATTCACTATACACTGTCGAATTACAAGCCATATACATGCTATCAGTAATTACAGACAACGCGGGCGCTGTGATGATTTCCCGTACCTAATTCTCCTTAGTTTTTCGTAATTTATAACTTTGAACATAACCTCTCTTCAGAAAGTACAACAAATAAATAACCCGTCATATTCAGTAATAATTTTCTCATACAAAAAATATCACTGATTTTATACACATGCAGACCACTACACATAATCATCTAGACGCGATCTTGGTATTCAACCGACTTTCTTCTCAGAGATAAAAATTCAGATCCGGATCACTCAGCCTCACAAAGCTATGCAACCAATAATGCGTAGTTTAGTTGAGTAATTCCTCGACAGATGAACGTTCACAACGATCCTAGTGAGCAAATGTGGAATGACTGTTTGCGCCCTAAAAACTACCTAGTCTGCAAGTTGACATCTTATAGGTTTTTGTAACGTTTTATAGGTTTTTTATATGATACGTGTGCCGCTACCTTTTGAAGCATGCGCGTTGAAAAGATTCATTATTACAAATCGCATAACGATATGATCAACTAAACTGATTCATAATTAAGTTTCAAGATTTGTCTCACACATACAGTGGTGGTCAATAAAATAAGAGTGCACATTTTGAAAACCAATGATATAATTAAACGTTATACCCAAATTTGACAATGATGTTTACTGTTCCACATTCCGTCGCGACAATCACATGTCATCTGTCGACGCATCATCTGTCCGTTCCGTCCATCTTCTCCACGTGAAGCGGATGTAGGAGGTTAGAAAGGACGTTCCGGTTTTGTCCCCAAAATTCCTTCTCGTTAATAATTTTTAATATGTTCGGGTGTATTGATTTATAGTGTTAACACCTAAGGATGGTATCCGTCGTACAATAAGCCCAATGTGTCCGTCCGGTTGGTTTTATATTTGTAACAAGTGCTCTCATCCTCGCGTTCGTTTTGAAACACCATTTGGCTGCAACCTCAACGACGAGTAAGTTGTCTGATAATTTAAATCCTTCCCTTATTGGTGCTAGCATCAGAATTGTGTTTTCAGCTCCTGACGAAGGCTCCATAGAGAATTGCCGAAAGCCAGAGTTTACCGTTAAAAGAGTTAACTAAAGCCTAAAAAGTTTGATAATTTCCCAATTAACAATTGATTGTATATTTTGCCCAACTGGTCATTGGCAATGTCAATGACTACTGATCATATATATCCTTCAATTTCTTTGGGTAGAAAGCAATGTATTGCAAAAGTACACTCTTTTAACTTGAACTCTCAAGCTTTCGAAGATCTATGTCTTCATCGTTTAGAGCTGGAAACAATTATTAACAATAGCAACAAATAGCAATTAGGAGAAAAATATTTACTTACTAAGTCGGCGAGATTGCTGAAATTGTTTTTAAAACAACAGTGAAGGGAACACATAGTCGACGAATAAAAAACTGGACTGATGAGGTTCGATTAGGACGGAATTATTTTATTATTAAATGGCAAATCATTTTGAAAGGTTGAAAAACTGTTGTTCATTCTCCACGATTTGTAAATAAATTTCCTAGGTCATATTTTCTTTTATCAAAAAAATAGGTCCAACGCCGGAATATGAAATGTACTCCCATATGTTGATGTTTCCTCCGCCATGCTTAACCGTTCCTATTGTTTAGGGCAGATTCAGCTCTCTTACGTAAATCCTACCATCAGATCTAAACAAATTTATTTTTGTTTCATCGCTGAAAAAGGACATTTTTCAAATTGCGACCGTAGGTGTCCGATACCTAATAAAACTGAATGGCCTTGACAATCCATAAGTGTATTTTATCGGTATGTAAAGCATAAATCTTTTATCTATCCAAGAAAAAATTACTTTGCATTCACCTTGATAATTTGGCTTTTACATAACATTTTTCTTTTACACTATTATTATTTTTGCCACCACACCAAACATACTTAGTAACAAACAGGTCAAGTTAAATAAAAACTTGAAAAATCCGTTAAAATGATTTAACATGTGTACAATCTATTCTAACTCTCATAACAAAACGATATAAAAATATCGTCACCCTCATTTGAATCGTGGGCCAGATTTTTTACAATGCATTGCCAACTTTCCTTTGTCCCAGCAGACGGGCCTGTTCTTAATTTGTATTTTATTGTGCGGGTGTCTTTATTTAGAACATGCGTATCGCGAATGTGTAAAACGCTTCTCGAAAAGGAAGCTTTGTATGTAAATATAAATGCGAAAACGCTACGGTATATTTAGCAAGGTTCGTTGTATTCCTGTTGTTTTATTTGTGAATGAAATGATTTCGAATAGGCTAGGCTGAGTGTAACCCTGGCAGCAAAAATAGAACCGGCATGTGTTGTTGTTTTGACAGCTTGGAAAAATATTGCTAATGGTGAGAAATCTGAAGCAGGTTACTGTTTTCCAGATGTCACAATTATTATGATATCTTCATCATGTTTTTAAACTGTATGTAACTATATATTTCTCTTAAAATTGGGGGTAACCTATGGATCAGTGTCAAGGTAGAATGAGACTACACAGTCTGGGCTCTGGGTACCGCGACCTGAAGGACACAAAGGAAATGAAAAGGCGGATGAGCTAGCCCGATAGGGTGCGGTCAATCGCTTTTCTGTGGCTTGACCAGAACACACACTAAATAGTGCATGAGAAATTGGATCAAGAAAAAGTCCCTAGAATGGTGGAACAGCCAATTAGGGCAGGCAGGCAAAAGACCCAACCCAACTAACAATTATCACTCCTATTAGAGTTGTAAAAATGATTATACAGTATTCCTTACACAGCATTGTATACTGTAAGAACATTGGCAAAACCCTCTTAGAACAGCTATACAAGCGGAATGGGCACACCTAATAGGACACTTCAGTCCTTTAAGAGGTTGTATAAGGGCTGCAGGTAACATTTATACAACAAAAGTGTAAGCCCCTTGCAGCCGCTATAGGACATTTGCGACAGTGCAAGATTCAGTTTTTGTCAACTACACTGGTCAACACTGGTTTTGCCACACGAACTTTGACAGCTAATTTTGTTTTATCAGTCTACCCTGATTATTACATGACAGCTGTCATATGTCTATTAGCCTCATATTTGTTGTGATACGGTAATACTCATAACTAGTACTACGGCAGTAAATTAACAGAAACGCTTACAAGTAAATCCTTATAAAAATATTTGTTGTTGAATTTGAACACTTTTTTGTGATTTATTAACCCTGTGAATATGTCGAGGAAGTGTAATAATGATCCTAACTCTTTTTGTTATGTCTGAGGAGAACTAACATTCAAAAAACAACGACGAAATTTTACGAATCTTGTGTTGGAGTGTTATCACCAATGTTTTGGTTTTTCTGTCGCCCATCAAGACAAATCCTGGGCCCCTCATGTCTGTTGCCTAACGTGTGTGAAAAATTTAACTGACTGGAAGAAAGGTGCACGACCTATGCCGTTTACTGTACCCATGATATGGACTGAACAGCGAGATCACGTTTCAGATTGCTATTTTTGTCTCACAGACATAAAATGTATAAATTACAAGAAAAAAACCACAGTTATTTACCCTAACTTATCTTCGGCTATAAGACCAGTCTCTCATTGTAAAAAATTGCCAGAACTAATACCAGTTGCAACTACGTCTGTTGAGAACAATTCACAACCGTCCACTTGAGGTGAATATGTTGACGAGGACGATGACTTTGAGTTAAAAGGAATTGTAAACGAGCCACATTTGATAACTCAAGGAGACCTAAATGATTTGGTTCGGGATTTAAATTTGTCAAAAAAGCAGTCAGAACTATTAGGATCACGTCTAAAAGAATGGAATTTGCTACATCATAATACAAAAGTTAGCTATTTTCGAAACCGTGATCAACACTTCAGAACGTATTTTTCTCAGGATGGAGATTTGGTGTTTTGCAATAACATAAATGAGATTATGAAAATGTTGGACATAGATTTTGATCTCTCTCAGTGGCGTTTATTCATTGATTCTTCGAAAGCAAGTCTAAAAGCAGTGTTATTGCATAATGGAAATAAGCTTCCGTCTGTACCTCT